AGGAAGGAAGGAAGGAAGGAAGGAAGGAAGGAAGGAAGGAAGGAAGGAAGGAACAATACTGCCAATCAGATTTGTTAGATGATCTTGAGAGAGCCATGTTTCTCTCAAGTCACACCCCTATAATGTAATTTCATACATTCCTTATCCAATGAAAAAGCTTCAAATACTTGAGCCCAAGGGTCCCCAACCTTTTTGAGCCTGTGCGCACCTTTGGAATTCTCACACAGGGTGGTGGGCGTGACCACAAGATGGCTGCCATGGGAGGTGGAGCCACACACAGAGGAAGCCGAAGTGCAGGGGGTAAGAGGAGTAATTTTTTAAAAATGCCACAGGAAAGAGGAGTATGTGAGAGAATAAAACCAATGCTGTGTTAGCAGCTGCCATCAAAACAACGTTATTTTAATCTTAACAGCCAATCAGATCTCCAGCAGCCTATCAGAAGCCCTGGTGGGCAAAACTCCCACCTGGCTCCACCCACTTTCTGAAAACGCTTGGCGGGGTACCAGGTTAGGTTTTTGGTGGGTAGCATGATGCCCCAGGGCACCACGTTGGGGACCCCTGCTTTAGCCCCATGTACATGTTTCACCTGTTGGGTTTAACATTTCTTATAATCTTTTAACCCTCCTGTTTCCACATTTTTAATTTACTCCTCTCAGAGAGTTGGAAAATGCAGTGTCCCCTGAGTCTACACTGCAGCACCGTGTCAAAACAACATGTTGCATTCTATACTGAAGTCATTCGAACAGGTAACACTCACATATAAACTATATGTTGTGCTTTACAAGTAATAGTGCAGTCTTAACTGTGCCTATATAAAGATATATACATCAATAATGTCAGTATCTTCAAGGGTGTAGACTTTCCAATTTCCCGGGGGGGGGGGCTGGGGCTGGGGCAGAGGCATTGCTGTGCTAGGAGCAAGGGTGGCCCCCAGGGGAGGCTGAGCACCTTCCTGAAAATTTCGGTGGGGGCTGACGCCCCACCGCCCCCACAAAGATTACGCCTATGAGTATCTTTCTACTCTCTTGAAAGATTCTCAAACACTTAGCTTAGAATAACTTCGCCAGGGTATCACAATTTTTAACAATCATATTATATTTGAAAAGCTTTCTCTTTTTTTGTAGTCTTTGTGAAGAAATCATTAGAACAGTTCTTTCCAGTGGTAAAGCAAAAGGTATATACTGCTTATAACAACCCAAAAGTGCTTCATAGTGACCCAACGGATAACCGCGGATGTTCTTCCATTTCAGCGTCCTCTTTCTCAAGAATCGCCGTTTATGTACAACTAATATAAAATCATACAATTAGTACATAGGTCTACTATGCATAATTCAAAATGGACTCAAGAAAGACCTCAGCCATTCATTCTTACCCATTAGTTCTTAAAGAACGTCACCAAAGCTGTCTGAGAGTTTGCTGTTTCATTTACTGGAACATACCCTCTTCCTGCAAAATCTTAAAGTGGGGGCTTGGCATTCTCAAAATGACTGATGGAGATTGTTAACAAATTACTTTGCTCTCCCTATCCAGGTGCAGCTTTTTACCCTGAGTTCTGATGTCTTAAAGGGATATGTGCAACAACCTCAAAAAGAAACCTAGTCTGCCTAATTACAACCTGTACTAATGTAAATTATAATAGATAATTTTCTTCCTGGTATATTGATAATGGAATTGTCCACTTAAAGAAAACAAGAAAAATCTATATTTTGACTCAGTCCTGCTGGTTCCAGTGTATTAAATCTATAAATAAATCTTGTTTCCTGCTGTAATAATAATTTTGTACTATTAACTCTATTACATTTATGTGGTACATATTTAAATAATATGCAGTACCTAAGTTCTTCAACTGTTCTGTTGTTTTTCTATAAAATGAATTACTAATGGGACATTCAGAATTTTATGTTTTATCAGATTTATGTTCTGATATTCTTGTTTTTATTGTTCTATCTGTACTTCCCATGTACAGCAAATTGCAAGGACATTTTACCAAATAAACTGTTTTTTTGGTATTGCAATCTGTGAATTCATTTAATTTTATAGTACCTCCTGTGTGATGAGTGGACTCTGTAATAACCATGGCTAACCTGCAGCTGACACAATGTCCACATATATGATGTCCTTTTGGTTGATGCTCCTTTCTACATAGTGTCCCCTCTAAGCTGAGTTAGTGTGAGCTAGCTCACAATTTTTTAGCCTCCAGCTCACAGATTTTTGTCATAGCTCAGGAAGGACAGTTCCAGAGCTAACTGATTTATGCAGTAGCCAAATCACTGGCTCACAACTTTAAAGCCAGTAACTCACAAAGCAGAATTTTTGCTCACAAGACTCCACAGCTTAGAGGGAACATGGTGCTTATATCTGATTTTATTAATCTATTACATAAAGTTCTTGTTTTCCTAAAACAGGGGACTGCCGAGCCCCATGAGGGGCCCGGCGGTGGACCTGCAAGGCCGGCGGGAGTGCAAGGAAGCCCCGCGAAGCCCCTCCCTGGCCCCAGGCAGGCAGGGGTGGGGAGAGGCAAGGAGGAAGCAACTTACCCTCCCTCTTCTCCTGCCTCCTCCTGGATGAATGAGGGCCGGAAGCGGGGCGGCCGGAAGCGGGGGGCGGGGCTTCGTCATGTGCCCCGACCCCCGGTACCTCACCCGGGGGAACTGCGATCCCCCGCGATCCCCCCCGAAATGACCTCTGTCCTAAAAACTACACCAGGAGTATTTTCACATCCAGTTAAAAAAGAAAGTAAATGCCAGTGTCATAAAACTATTTTTAATAGGCTCTGCTAATGTTGGATAGTATTTTTAATTATAAAAAATTAACATATCATAGAGAAGTACAAAGATCATGAAAAGTAGTTGAGGCTATACACTGAAACAACCTTAACATTATCAAAAGAACGAACAGAAATTTTAAATATTGGATGCAGTGAGAATCACCTAAAATGAGGTACCAAGATACAAACACATTTCATTCTAAAGCTGAATATTGTAAGCCAAAAGTTAACCTCTGTTGATGTTCCATATCTGTCTTGTCCTGCAATAAAGAATTTCTGTCCTTACTGATTGTCAGGGCTGGCCCCAGCTTATTTTGCACCCTAAGTGAGGATCCCTTCTGGCGCCCCCCCCTCCCCGTGTGCCGAGTTCAGCAAAAGAGCTTCCCCAGCTGTGGAAATGCAGGGCTTTTGGCAGTTGGGGGGGCTTTTGGTGGGGGGGCGGGCGCAGTTTGGCGCCCCTAAGGGCCGGCCTGCTCTAGGTGAACGCCTAGTTCGCCTAGTGAGCGAGCTGGCCCTGCTGATTGTTCTCAATTTAGTGTTATTAATTACTGTCTCGGGATATCCTCTTTCCTTAAATCGATTTTCCATGCTTTGACTCTCTTTAATAAGCATCCTTTCTTCTGTGCTGTCTGCAGAAACCTTTGTGACACCAGGCCGAACCTGTGGTTCAACAACATTTTTCAAGCCCACTTTGAGGGCCCTCTCTGGAAGTTCCTCTTCCTCCACATTTCCTCAGAAGGATGTCATGTGAGGCTTGACTCTGTGCTCATGATAGTTGCTATGTTCCCTCAATGCCATCTGGCTTTGGCTTTGTACCCCCTGATTCTGACCACATCCTCCCTCCCATTTTCTTCTCCAAAAGGGCCTCAGTCTGGGGAAAAGAGGGGAGCAACATTAGGCTGCAGAAAAGACTCCCCAACACGCAGAGGTTTTGCCAAGTAGTCTGCTTTGGCAGCTCTGTGGATGACCTCTCCAGCACTTGTAAGTGTGTTTCATGTACCCCTGTGTGCCTTCAGTTACTCTACTCTCTAGAATGCCTCAAGAGAGGAACTCTCCACCATTTGCATGTATGTTTTACGTACCCTTGCACGCCCTCCTTTACCCTACTCTGATGCTCCAAGAAAGGAACTCTCCAGCATCTGCGAGTGTTTCACGTACTCCTCTGTGCCTTCACTTAACTCTAATCTCTCTAATGCCCCCAAAGAGCATTTGCAAGTGTGTTTCACATGCCCCCGCCACATGCCTTCACTTTTCTCTCCCTCTAATGCCCCAAGTCTCCACACGTGTACATGCCCGGTCTTAAAATCTAAACAGTAATTATAATTTCCCTCATGGTCACCTAGTAAGGCTGCAGTTCTGTGCACACTCTCCTGGGAGTGAGCGCTGTTGAATGCAATGGGTTGGATCTCATGGAAGATTTATGCATGTGCAACACTCCTTGTGCAACCAGAAGCCTCAGGAAAAAGATTACTGATCGCCATCTGCTTGCACTAAGAGAAAAGGCTTGTATCCCTAGGGTTGTCCTTATACGTGCACAAGAGATTGCACAGAGTGTTTCTTCAGATACAGTGTCAAAAGAAATTAAATAAAACCCTGTGAACAGTCTGTTGTACTTTCCATCGTTCCATATGCACATCACGAATGCCCTACAAATTATATCAGAGCCCTATGCCTGACTGCAGCCACTGCGCATCTTGTGCAAACAGAACTAAACGATGTACACATTCCTTTCTGCTCATGCATCGTTGGAGGAGTTTTCAGTAAACATGCACCAGTTTGTGTTGTGGACATGTCAACGTCTTCACTGTCTCTCCAGAGGTCCCTCCACAACCTGTAACTCAGATCTCTGGGCCCGAGAGTCTGTAATGGATCTCCTAGGGTTTAAGACGCCCTCGTCCTTCTGGAACACTGCTTTCAGTTTCCCATGCAGGGCCGCCAGCATAGCTCTCTTGAAACTGCTGGAGAGGAAAAAGAACATCACCGGGTCGAAGCAGCAGTTGAGGGCCGTGACGCAGAGGACAAGTTCATTGGCAAGGTGGAGGGCTTGGACACTCCCCAGATCAGAGATGATCTTGATCTGGGCAAGGATATAGGGCACTCGGACCACATGGTAGGGGGTGAAGCATATGATGAAGATGGCAAGGACCACAAAGGTCTTGGATATGGCTCGGGCACTGGTTTTCCTGCTCTGCTGCCGTGATTTCCTTAAGGCCACCTGGCGGAGCTTGAGAGAGATCTTGCCATAGGAGTAGAGGAAAAAACCCAGCAGGACAAAGAAAGTGGCCACTGCAGTCAGGTTGAGCACTGCCCCCAGCACACTTCTGTACTTGAAGTGGAAGCACCTGTTGGCACAGTGCCCTTTCTCGCTGGCACTGAAAAAGAAAGGAAGCATCATGGCGCTGCAGACTAACCACACCAGTCCAGAAGCGGCGGTGCTGTGGGTCACCGTGTGGATCCGGAACTGGTGGAGGGGCCGGGTGATCTTCAGGTAGCGATCTAGGCTGATCAGGCTGAGCAGCCCGATGCTGACATACATGGTAAGGTAGAAGATGCTGCCAACCACCTTGCAGAGCATGGCAGGGCCACTCTGGTTCTGATATGCGGCCCGGAAGGGCAGGCAGAGAGCGAGGAGGAGGTCCGACAGGGCGAGGTTCTTCATGTAGACGGTGATGGAGTTTGTCTTCTGCGTGCCACAATGGAACACCCAGAGGGCCAGCAGGTTGAAGAAGAAGCCCATGATGGAGATGATGGAATACATCACTGGCAGGGTCACTACTAAGAGGTCATCGTTGATGTCGCAGCTGGAGCTGTTAGAGCTATTCCCGGGGGGTTCTAATTCTGGGGGGAAACCAAGAGACAGATGAATTGTTTGGAGGCCTCCTTCCTGCAAAAGCTGGGCAGAAAGCGGTGTTTCAGAACTATTTATCCGGGCACGTTTGAGGCCCAAGGATGGCATGATCATTCTCACTGCTGCGAGTGCCCTATGAGAGATAGATTCTACGATGTTATTTGCACACATAGAACACGTGCAGCAGATTTTGAGAACGCTGCCTCCGAAGATGGATGTAACCGATGGGATTTATCAATTGTTTTAAAAACTTGTTACCCAATTAATGATTTCCCTTTTAAATGAATAGTTCAGTTATTAAAGTTGCATATTACCATAACCTCGATGCAGGTGACTTCTGTGAGACGTGTATTTATAGACTGCATTTTTTGGGTGGGGCAAGGCACTCAAGGCAGTTTATAATTTAAAATAACTAAAGTGAAAACAAAATCTTGCAACATTCTTGGTGATAGGAAGTCTAAACAAAATTAATAAAAAGTACAATTCGTTTTCCAGAAAGTATAGCTATCTTTAATATTTCCCCCCGTTTTTTTCCATTACAGTAATGCATCGCAGACCAAAATACCCTAGAAAAATGACATTTACTAATCTCAGATTAATCAACTAACACTTCGGTTGATTATACTACAGATTTGAAATGTCTAACCAAGACAGAGATTAGCAGATTTGGGGTCAATTGCAACTGTATCTTGCTGGGTGGGGCCACTAGCAGAAAGAAAGCCAAGCATCCAGACTGACAGCTATCTATGGATCCACCCTTTGAGACATAGTAAAGGTAAAGGTCCCCTTGCTCGAAAGCCAGTCGAGTCCGACTCTAGGGTTGCGGTGCTCATCTCCGTTTCAAAGCCGAAGAGCCAGCACTGTCCGAAGACGTTTCCGTGGTCATGTGGCCGGCATGACTAAACACCAAGGCGCACGGAACGCTGTTACCTTCCCACCGAAGTGGTACCTATTTATCTACTTGCAATTTCTTGCTTTCGAACTGCTAGGTTGGCAGGAGCTGGAGCCAGAGATGGGAGCTCACCCCGTCATGCGGCAACTTGGGTGACGAACTGCTGAACTACTGACCTTCCACAGCCTGCAGTTCATCATCTTAAACAGTTGAGCCACCGCATAAGGTACCCTGAAAGAAACGTTTATTATATCCTGGTGCATGCCGAGATTGCTCTCTTCATCAGCTTCAGTGTGCATTTAACTGTAGCAAGCTGTGCAAATGGCTTTGCAAACTCCTAAAAAAAGTTTGCTTTTTTAAAGAGGTGCTTTGTTTTTCTTTCAAAGCTTGCAGATTCACCTACATAGACCTCTTCCAAGGCTGATTCAAAGTATTTGTTGCCCACAGGCAAAATATACCCAGTGCCTCTTGCTGCTCCTCCTCCTTATCTCGCTAGTACAAGGTTTTCATCCCTACCCTTCCAAAGCTCAGAGTGGCTTGGAGCCATAAACAAAGCATAACAATACAATCCAGTTTGCACAGCGTAGTAACACTAAGATATCGGAGGGCAAAGAATGCTGTACTGCTTAGCCTTCAATAAAAGAGAGCCCATTTCAAGGTCCGAGAGGAAAGTTCTTTCAAATTACTCAGCTTTCCAGAAGGTAAGGGGAAATATGCCTTCCACTTCAGATGAGGCAGTTTCATGTGTGCTTCTGCACTCTAGAATGGGCTCCTTGGTCTATCAAAATCAGTCTTTGGGGGGAGTGATACAGCGTCCACTTGGCATGCAGAAGATCCCAGGTTCAATCCCTGGCATCTCCAATAAGGATCAGTTTGTACATAATGTGAGAGCCAGCATGGTGTGGTGGCTAAGAGCGACGGACTCTAACCTAGAGAATCAGATTCGATTCTGCACTCCTCCACGTGAAGCCAGCTGGGTGGACCTTGGGTCAGTCACAGCGCTTTCAGAGCTCTCTCACCCCCCCAAAAAAATAAGTCTAGCTCGCCACCTAGTGGTGCATAACGCAAAAAGAGCTAGAACTTCAGGCTGCCAGACAATCTTAGAATATCCTGGCTATACTACACACAAGGCCATATGATTTCTTAAAATGTACATAATGTGAAGGGCCTCAGCCTGAGATGCCATAGAGCCACTGCCAGTATGAGTAGACAGTACTGACTCTGCAGGAGCAGTGGTCTGATTCCATGTATGACAGCTTCATGTGTTCGAGTGATTGACTCTAGCGGCTCTCCAGAATCTCAGGTATTGGTCTTTCCCTTCACCTCCTATCTGGTTGTTTTAACTGAAGATGTTCAGCGATTGCACCAGGGACCTTCCTCACACAAAACTGATGCTCTGACATTGAGCCTTCCCTGGCAACACTGGAAAAAGCTCTCAGACAAATGAAACTGGGACTTACTGACTGCCACGAGGTTCCTGTGAGATACAGCAGCTGGGCTGAGAGGAGTAGGCAAGCAAGTAAATTTCTCGATCGATCGTGGTGGGTCCAGCCTCACTTTCTTCCACCTCAGCGCTCTCTCCGATGTCTGCTTGTTTGGGGGCTACGAAGTCCAGCTATCCTGTTGCAACAAAACCAAGATAGAATGCAGCGGCACCTTAAAGATCAACAGCTTTGTTGCGGCAGAAGGTTGCGCAGGAGAGAGACCAGCTTCATCGGGTGCGGTGTGATGGGGCTCACTGCTGGGAGGGATTTCTCGCACCTTTTCAAAGTCCCACAAGCTGGTGATGGCACTTCCTGAAGCCTCTTCATCTGCTTCCCCTAAAGTCAAACACTTGCTTGTCAGCAAAGAAATGCATGTGGTATACTGTACTCAGATCTTACACAGAAATCAGCCCACTATTCATAGCCTGACAGAGAAAAAGCCCGGAAGTGGAACCAGTGCTTGTTTGTGGCTTGTTGTTTTTTTCCCATAGGAGGTTGGGACAACAGGTCTTGAAATAGGGTTGCCAAATGCAAACAGATGCTTCTGTACCTTTAGCAAAAATTATTTTCATTTCTTTTTAGCCTCTTTATTCTCTGGGGGGCTCAGGGCAGCATGCACGGTCCCCAACCCTTATTTTATCCGCACAACGACCCTGTGAAGTAGGTAGGCTGAGACTGCGTGACTTCTGCAAGGTCACAGTGTGAGCTTTGCAGGAAAGTGGGGACTTGAATCTCATTTATCTATTTAAAATATTTATCTGCCTGACTTTCTCCTGGGCATCTCAGGACCCAGAGTCGAGCGCTCTAACCTCAACACCACCCTGGCACTCTAGTCTAAGGTACAGGCTTCAGCAAGCAGAGTTTTTTGTGGTGACAGCTATCAATTGTCTCTGGCAGCTACGACCAGATCAAAAGATGGACACCCTCACTTAAAGTGTGATTTCTTCAATGACATGGCCCCTACAAGATAGGGTTGACAGCTTAGGCTAGAAAATTCTTGGAGATTTGGGGGTGGGGCTTTGGGAGAGTAAAGTTTTGGGAGAGGAGGCAGCTCAGAAAGGATGTGATGAGAGCCATTTTGGTGTAGTGGTTAAGTGCAAGGACTCTAATCTGGGAGAACCGGGTTCAATTCCCCACTCCTTCACTTGCACCTGGCTGGATGACCTTGGGCAAGCCATAGTTCTGATAAGAGCCGTTCTTGAAAAAGAGCAGTTTCTGTCAAGACCTCTCTCAGCCCCACCTACCTCACAGGGTGTCTGTTGTGGGGAGGGGGAGGGAAAGGAGTTTGTAAGCCGCTCTGAGACTCCTTTGGGTAGTGAAGGGCGGGGTATAAATCCAATCTCTTCTTCTTCTTCTATAGAATCCACCCTGCAAAGCTGCTGTTTCTCCCAGAGAAAGAAGGGTTGCCACCCTGTGGGTGGCACCTGGAGATTTCCTGCTATTACAGTTGATTTCCAGACGACCAAGATCCTTGGAGAAAATGGCTGCTTTGAAGGTTTGACCTTATAGCATTATATCCTGCTGAGGTCCCCCCTCCCAAGCCCCTCCCTCCCCAGTCTCCTCCCCCAGAATCTCCAGGTATTTCCCAACTCAGAAGTGGCAACCCGAAGTGATCACTCTAGTTGTAATTCTGAGAGAACTCCCCAAGGTGTGGCTTTGAACAAGGTATAGTTGGCGTTCTCCCACTAGGGCTAGAAATAGCCATGTTAGTAGGCCCAGATGTACAGGTCTCAGGAATTCTGGAACTTCTGGATTTAGCTCTTCCCGCATTAAGATGCTCAACATTTTTAGGATGTTGCCGCTGTACTTGTAGCCTGCAAAGTAGGAGCTATCAGTAATGAGCCATGGATCAGGTCCCAACAGGTAGTCAGCCATAGGGTTGCCAAGTGCGATCGCCGCAGCGGGAACCGCATCCTCGTCACTCGGAAGTGTCGCAACCACGCCGGGCACGCTGGGGGCGGGGCCACAACCATCCGAGGGAAAACCATAGAGTTTTCCCTCGGATGACCGTGGCCCGGCCCCCAGCATGCCCAGCGTGGTTGCGTCACTTCCATGTGACGTGCACGTCGGGGTGGGGTCCCCCCCGGGCCCAATCTGCCAGCGGCAGGGAACGGGCCTCTGGGGCGGGGGTTTCCCTGCCCCCCGGGGGGACTTGGAAAGCCTAGTCAGCCATCAGGTGTGGCCTGGCGATCACCTGGAATTAGAACTGATCTCCAGATAACAGAGATCGGTTCCCCTGAGGGTTGCCAGCTCTGGGTTGGGAAATACCTGGAGATTTTGGGGGTGGGGCTTGGAGAGGGCGGGGTTTGGGGAGGGGAGGGACCTCAGCATGGTACTGTGCCATAGAATCCACCCTCTGAAGCAGCCATTGTCTCCAGGGGCAACGGATGTCTGAAGTTTGGAGATCAGTTGTAAAAACAGGAGATCTACAGGCCCCATCCGGAGGCTAACAGCCCTTGTCCCCTGGAGAAAATGGCTGCTTTGGAGGACGGGCTCTATGCCATTCAACCCACTGAGCTCCCCACTGTCTCCAGGCTCCACTCTCAGATCTCCAGGAACGTCCTAACTCATAGCTGACAACCCTCATTTGGGGCAATTGCACCTATGAAGTCAGTCATAGCGGGTTACAGGAAGGCTACACCATAGTGTTGTCAGAGATGGAAAGCAGGGGTGTGCATTTCTTTTCCAACTAATACAAACTGAACTGAAAAGACCACCTTGGACAGGGTGGAAAAAGT